TGAATTTTAAAATAATAATTTTTTTTCATCCACGTCATTTCTTCTTCCTCTTTCACTTTCTCTCTCCTTTACCTTTCCTTTTCCCTTACCTCTGCAAACCAGATCTGGGTCTCAAACTTCATCTTCTTCCTCCTTTCCTCCTCCCTCCTCCCTCCTCATCCTTCTTCTTTCTTCTTCTTATTCTTTCTTTCTCTCTCTTCTCCCTTATTCTTCTTCTCTCAAACCCAGATCTGGCATTTTAGCAACCTCGCTCACCTCATCCATCTTGGACGTGCTCGTGCCATTGCTACTCCCCCGCGTTCGAGGTGAAGAAACTGGGTTTGTGAAGAAACTGGGTTTTCACAAACAAGTAGCTTTCCAAACCACACTTTACCACCTAAACATGAATCGCCTTTCCCTTGTTAAAGGCCACCAAATCAGCACAAATAGACAACATCACAGCAAGCGCTTCAGCACTAACCCTTATTCCTCCCATCCTCATTGAATCAAACAACTTCAAAGCTTCTTGATTCCGCCCACATCGAGCATGACTTGACAACAGCGATGTCCATGTCACATCATCTGGCTCCAAACCTTCCAATTCCATCTGCTCAAGCATCTCAAAAGCACCATCACAATCATAATTCAATGCAAAACCCGAAATCATCATATTCAAAGAAATTTTGTTTCTTTCACACATTTTATCAAACAGATGGCGTGCAACATCCATTTTGCCCAGCTATGTGTACATCCCCAACAATTCATTAACAACATGAACACAGTTCTGATTTCTAGTTTGTAACACATGATTATGAATATTCTTTCCCACATAAGAACTACCCAGAAACGCACAAGCCCTTATAACCAAAGAGAAAGTGAAGGCATCACCAAAAATACCCTGTTTACGCATCTTGACATAAATTTTAAGGGCAGTTTCATAGTAACCATGAGAGACATTAGCTCTCAAAATTGAATTCCACAAAATCAAGTTTGAGGTATGCTCAAATGGGCTCGTGTCAAACAACTTCTGGGTATAAAAAAAAGCCCGAAACGAGCACAGATCAACACAATTCGGGCAGCCAAGAATTCCAATCGATACGCACTGCCAATGAGGATCTGATTATGAACTTGTTTGCATTGACGGGCTGTTGAGCATTGCTGAAGAAGGTGATCAAATGAATCGAGAGTTGCATTGTCGGGAACAGAGAAGTAAGATTCAATACTGAAAAAGGGTTCATGATGGTAGTAGAGTATAGGGATTGAAAGGCTGAGATTTGACGGGAGGGGAAAGGGAAATACATTGAAATGCGAAGAGATTGAGACAAGTCGCAGAGGAGAAGCAACAGCAGCAGCAGTAGCAGTGGCACAAGCGCGTCCAAGATGGACAAGGTGAGCGAGGTTGCTGAAATGCCAGATCTGGGTTTGAGAAAAACCTAGATCTAGGTTTGAGAGAAGAAGAAGAAGGGAGAAGAGAGAGAAAGAAAGAATAAGAAGAAGAAAGAAGAAGGATGAGGAGGGAGGAGGAAAGGAAGAAGATGAAGTTCAAGAGAGAACCCAGATCTAGTTTACAGAGGTAAGGGAAAAGGAAAGGTAAAGGAGAAAGAAAATGAGAGGAAGAAAGATGACGTGGATGAAAAAAAAGAATATCAAAAATTTTAAATTAAATAAAAATGCCACCTCATAAAAAAGATGGCCAACTGTGTTTTTTTTTTACATGTCATTTGTCAAGCAAAAAAAGAATTGATTTTGTGGCATTTTAACGTGCCACCTGTCATTTAACTGACGGAAAGACCATTTTGGTACTAAAAATGAAAGTTTAAGGATAATTTTGGTACTTTTTAAAGGTGAGGGACAATTTTGGTGCTAAAGTGAAAAGTTGAGGGACCAAAATAGTACTTAAACCTTTTAATAAATAAACCCTTCCAAAATTTAATTTAATTAAATGA